AAAAAAAAAAAATGCACGTGCCTCCACTGGGTGTACTTGTGAAACACCTTCTTGATCTGAGGAGCACAGGTGATATGGTGGGGTAAGAGACAGATGTGGTGCTATCATGCTGCTCAGAACATAGGGCTGGAGGAGCATGGATTGAATGGGGGGGGGGTTGTTGGAGAGAGGGGCATTGGTAGGATAGAGAGGTGTAGGTCTGGACGAGTGGTGGTTGGATGGAGGGGTGTGGTTGGGATGAGACAATGGGTATGTGAATAGAGGAGGGACCCAGCAGGAGAAGGGAGGCCTAAGCATACCTCAATGGCCTGTGTGTACTGCTCCAGTCGCTCATCAATCTTGGAGATGGGCAAGGCTGGTTGGGACTTCTTCACACTGTTACTGGAGGATAGGAGAAGGGTCACGCCCCATGCTCCCTCACTGGGCTTCCGCACCCACCCCGACCCCTACCAGAGCTCCCTCGGGGCTCTGCATCTCTAGCCCCCAGGCCCCTCTCTTCGACACCGTCTGGGGGAACCCCAAGTCCTAGTCTGGAAAGCAGCAGGTTCACCTCTTCCTGATGGAGCGGTTCAGGGACTCGGTTCTGTCGATGAGCTGCGGAAGGCAAGCAGAGATGTGAGTCTCCAACCAGAGCCCCCCCATCCCCCCCGTTGCCCCAGTGGCTCCCGTCCACCAATCGAGCCATCCGCTGATTCATTTCTCAGGGATGTGCTGAGTGCCAGGCTGGGGGGATGGCAGAGAAAGAGCAGGGGGTACTCGTGTTCCTGGCACTGCCGTGTGGCTTCCTCTCTGGGGCTGTCGTGGGGTTGGTGCTGTGATTCTGGGAAAGAGGAAAAGGCAGCAGGCTCTGGGGCTCGACCTACTTTGGTGCTGGGGCTCAGGGGAGGTGAGCCCTGTTCGGTAGCACCCTCCAAGACCAGGGGGCTGGGCGTCCTGGGCTGCTGGTGTTTCTGGTGCTAGGAATAGAACATCAGAGTTTATACGATGAGCACCCCTTGCACCCCTCCTGCCCCATTCGGAACTTGTTGGAGCAAACATCTTCCCCTCCCTGGGCCTCAGGCCCTTTCCAGCCCTGACATGCTCTGTTTCTCGAATTCTCTGCAGTGGGGTCTGGTGAGTCCGGAGGAGAGTCGCTTGATCCCAGGGTCACGAAGACCCTCCTCCCTCTGGGAATGCGGGTGCCACAGAGTCTGGGGTGTGGGGGGGCGTCTCCCTCTAGGGCAGCCTGCTGAGCAGACGGTCAGCAGACACAGACCCAGCCCAAGGGGCAGGGTGCACCCGGACCCCAAAGGGAGCCACCATCACCTGCTCGTCTGCCTCTTCGGCTTCTGCCGGCCCCAGGCTGCCCTGGACGGTCCCCTCTGGGCTCTTGGGCTCTGTCTCCTCTGTTCCCGGCCCGTCCTGGAGCTCTGAGCTGGGGCTCAGATGCAACTCCTCCAGGCTGACTCTGGCTGGACTCTGCTCATCACCACCCTGGCTCCCGTAGGCATGCTGATGGGGCCTGGGGGGCAGGGGAGGGATGCAATCCCGGTGAAGGTCGTTCAGTTGCTGGGTTTGAGTCCCTCTGGGTTTCCAAACCTCAGCTTCTCCATCCGAAAGGTGGGGGCAGTCTGACCAGTTGAGTGCCAAGGAATCTTGAGACCCCAGCCTCATCGGGGGAAGTGGGCCCAAGGACCTTGGAGGCAGCCCTCCAGCCCTGGGGCGCCTTTGTGGACAGGGCCCGCTGCCTCAGCCCCCTCTCGCCTCACACTCAGAGGCCGGACCCGGTCTCCAGACTCTCTGGATAGGCCCCAGCCCCCGGGCCATGCTCGTCTGTGTCCACCCTGCTGGCTTAGCGCCCCCCCACCCCGCAACCCCCCGCCTGCTCCTGCCCTGCTCCATGAAGGAGGCAGGTGGGCCTGAGGAAGAAGGGTTTCACATAGGAGCGGGGCAGGATCTGTGGGTGGTTTGGGGGACGATCAGCTAAGGGACAAGGCAAAGGCCGAGGTCACAGCTAGGACTGCACCCTTGAGAAGAGGGGCTGCCTGCACTGGCCATGCCTTCCGGCAGCCAGCAGGGCTCTGCATTTGAGCAGGACTGAACCAGCAAGAAATTCTCGCATTTTCCATGATTTCACGCCCCTTGGTGTTGGTGCCAGCCCAGACCCAGGCCCACCGCCCAAGGTGGGTCAGTGCGAGCCGGCCGGGCACACAGAGGGCCCATTCAGCTCCAGCGGGTCCCGGGGCCAGGCAGGTGTGGGGTGGGGAGGAGGCTTGCTTGTGAGCAGAGCAGGAGGGTTCAACAGAAGAGCCAAAGTGCCCCCTGCTGTTGGGAACAGCTGTGGCCTGGGGCCGGCGGGAAAGAGGAGGCAGCCGGCAGGGCTGCGGCCACCCGACACGAGGGGACAGGCCATCCTTGCAGACCCCAGACCCACCTTGGAAGGTGCACTGAGTCTCAAAGGCAGATGGGGGAAAATGAGGCCTGCAGGGGCACCGGTGACCAGGGGGTGGCCAGGACCAGGGCCCCAGCCAGGCAGCTGGCTCCTGGGGTGCAGGAGCCTACTGGTAGGGTGGTTGGAAGACTGGAGACGGAGACGGTCCTAGCTAGAGATGGAGACCAGAGGGGCCTCAAAGGGCCGGGAGGTGGTGTCCCCCAAGCTCGAAGCTCCTGGGTAGAGCTTGGACCCTGCCCACGGTGGGGGGCCCTTGAGCACGCCTGCAGGGTGCCTCAGACCCCAGAACTGGGGTGGGGGTGAAGCTCCCGGAGCAGCCCCCCATCCCTGGGCCCCCACCCCCTCCTGCCCTGTTCAGCCCAGCAAACACGTCTGCACATCTGGAAAGCTTGTCCCTCCAGGCCAACTCACAGGCCCACACATCTGGAAATACCTGCTCCCCTCCGTGGGAATGGAGATCAGCCAGCCCCGAGGGAGGAAGGGGCGGGCGGGCGGCAGGGGCGCAGAGCCTCCATTACGTAAGTGGGCTGCAGATGTGTGCTGATGTGGCAACACCCTGGCCGGGCCGCAGCTGGTCTGGATGGGGCCCAGGGGCCCTGGGGAGCCCAGGAATGAGATTTCCTCCCCACCCCTCCCCGCAGCCCCTCGGCCCGCCGCCCCGCCGCCGTCTAGCTCTCTTCCTCCCTTCCCCCTGCTCCCAGCCCGGGGGGCATTTTGCGGGGCCGGTGGCCTTTGCTCAGGCACAGGCTGGGGGCTTGGAGAGCGCCCCGGCCTGGTAACCCTGCCTCCGGCCTCTGACCCCCACTTGCCTGTTCTCCTCCTGCTGCCCCTCCGGACTCTCGCTCCGAGGGGGCTCCCCGCTGTTGGAGGCCCCCCCGGCCTCCCAGGGCTGCCGCTGTGGCTCTGGCTTCTGGGACCAGTCGCTGAAACCCTCGTCCTCATCCAGTTCAGGGGCCTCCGAGGGCTTCAGGCTGAGGCTAAAAGAGCAGCGCCGGGTGCTCAGAGCCGGACGGGGCCATGAGGGGCAGGGGGCACGCTACACACACTGGCCACATCTCCTTCCTTCCTCAGACCTTGGGCTCCAGGGGTGGGAGACCCTGTCTGCCAGGGGCAGCACCCATGGCTGGGCCGAGCCTCCCCGCTGTTAGAGAATCCCTGAGGGCAGGACTGTGTCTCCTCGTAGTCTGGAGCTGCCTGAGGCCGAGCTTGTGTCTGACCCTATTAAGCTAGGGCTCCCCAAGAACAGGGCTATATCTCCCTCGTGAGACTAAGGTTCCCACAGAGCTAGGCTGTGCTTCCTCCATCAGTGTAGGGCCTGCTAAGACCTGGGCTGTGCCTCCCCCATCAGTCTAGGGTCCCCTGAGAACTGGGCTGTGCCTCTCTCACTAGTCTAGGGCCTCCTGAGAGCCGAGCTACGCTTCCTCCATCAGTCTAGCCTCCCCTGAAAGCAGGGCGATGCCTTCCCCATCAGTCTAGGGTCCCTTGAGAGCTGGGTTGTGCCTCCCCCATCAGTCTAGGGTTCCCCAGGAGCTGGGCTATGCCTCCTTCATCAGTCTAGGGTCCCTTGAGAGCTGGGCTGTGCCTCCCCCATCAGTCTAGAGCCTCCTGATTTCTGGCTATGCCTCCTCCATCAGTCTAGCGCTCCTTAAGGGCTGGGCTGGGCCTCCCCATCAGTCTCAGACTCCCCAAGAGCTGGGCTATGCCTCCTTCATCAGTCTAGGGTCCCTTGAGAGCTGAGCTATGCTTCTTCCATCAGTCTAGGCTCCCCTGAAAGCAGGGCTATGCCTCCCCCATCAGTCTATCCCTTGAGAGCTGGGTTATGCCTCCCCCATCAGTCTAGGGTTCCCCAGGAGCTGGGCTGTGCCTTTTCCATCAGTCTTGGTATGCTGAGAGCTGGGCTATGCCTCCTTCATCAGTCTAGGGCTCTCTAAGAGCTGGGCTGTGCCTCCTCCATCACTCTAGGACCTCTTGAGATCTGGGCTATGTCTCCCTCATCAGTCTAGAGCCTCCTGAGAATTAAGCTCTGCCCCTCCCATTAGTCTAGAGTCCCCTGCGAGCTGGGCTATGCCTCCTTCATCAGTCTAGAGTCCCATAAGAGCTGGGCTGTGACTCCCCCATCAGTCTAGGGCTTCCTGAGAGCTGGGCTATGCCTTCTTCATCAGTCTAGGGCTCTCTAAGAGCTGGGCTGTGCCTCCCCCATCACTCTAGGACCCCTTGAGATCTGGGCTGTGCCTCTCCCATCAGTCTAGGGCCACCTGAGAGCTGGGCTATGCCTCCCCCATAAGTTGAGAGCTCCCTAAGAGCTGGGTTGTGCTTCCCCATCAGTCTAGGATATCTTGAGAGCTAGGTTAGGCCTCCCGTTATCAGTCTAGGGCCCCCTGAGAATTGGGCTATGCCTCCCCTATCAGTCTAGGGCCTCCTGAGAGCTGGGATGTGCTCCCCCATCAGTCTAGGGCCTCCTGAGAATTGGACTGTGCTTCCTCCCTTGGTCTAGAGTCCCCTGAGAGCTGGGCTATGCCTCCCCCATCAGTTCAGTGCTCCCAAAGAGTTGGGCTGTGCCCCCCCCCATCTGTCTAGGGCCTCTGAGAGCTGAATTATGCCTCCCTCCTCAGTCTAGGGCTCCTGAGAGCTGAACTATGCCTCCCCCCTCAGTCTAGGGCTCCTGAGAGCTGAACTATGCCTCCCTCATCAGTCCAAGGCTCCCCAAGAGCTGGGCTGTGTCTCCTCCACTCGTCTAGGGCCCCCTGACTGCTGGGCTGTGCCTCCCCTGTCACCCTGGGGTCCCCGTGTGTGGGTGACACGTCTCCCTCCAGGGCTCTGGTGACTGCTCCCTCCGCGGGCAGCAGGGTGAGCCCCTGTCCCCCGCCCCCCCCCCC